CACCCACACACCCACCAACGCAGCTGGGAGCTAAACTTTGATTTTCCATCACATAAAGTACAATTTTAATTGAGCTGTGCAGATTTTCTACATATCAGAAAGAACCAGGAGAGCAACTATCAGTATTAACTTGTACTCATTTAGTAGCCAGACTCGGTAGCTTCTCTGCAAATAAACGCCAACATAATCCCATAGTAAAAGAAACATATCCCAGGTGTCCATCTTTACATGTCTACCTGGATTGGAACAGAAAGTCACACGACTTGGACAGGTCAAACAAGAGGGTCAAATGTTTCCTGAATCACTTTTAAAGCCTGTTGGAGTTCATTCATTTTTGTCTCTGTGCACCACCCAGGTTCAGGACCTGACCAGAAGCCCTCAGTGTAAATTACCTTGAGAAATAATGAGATTTGGTTATATATAAAAACAGGCTTTAAAGCCGAAAAGTGCTCAAATGTTACAAGTCATACAAATGGAACAGATGCAGAGCTACATTCACCGGCCACACTTAGCTCACCTTATGGCTGTAACCAAGTGAGGCAAAGATTGTGGTGTGAGTTTAGCTTTTTATTCTTTTCTGTAATCTGTACTCTCCCTAAAGGGTAGTCTAATCAGTTTCAGTCTGTGTACGTATGACTGGCGGCAGTCACACATCAACATGGTTATGTAAGCTGCAGCGTGTGCGTGCAAGCAGATAAAAGAGATAGAGGAAAAATACAGAATCCATTACAAACCTATCAGATCTACATTATTCCTTCAAGCTGCTGATTCTGACCAGCTCCACCCCACTACATGAATTACAAGGTTATCCTCAGTTTTGAAGCCAAATATATGTTCCTAACTTTTATTTGATATTCAGTACAAGAGTTTTAAAACTATATGCCAACGCTTGATGCATTAAATCAATACTTTTTTCAGTAAAGATTTTGATCAATGACCGAAGCAGCTCCAACTTACATATATATATATATATTTTTTTTTTTTTAACATAAAAATGAAGGATTATAAAACTAGCACTAATAATTCCTGTATATTTCAATATGTATCTTGTAGTCCAACATAATGAAAGAAAAAACTGTTTTGCGGAAGTAGTTATGTTCACGCATGTTTATTTCCAGGCATGCATACAAGATTAAAGTTAAACATACTCTCACTAAAAGAAAAATAAAACAAAAACACAATGCATCACTGGACAGAAAAAAAAAAAAAAAAAAAAACATTAAGAAAATAGAAAAGCTTAATCAGCAGATCCCCCCACAGTCACTATAGACCACTTCCTCCAAGCTGAGGAATGCAGCCAAACTTGTTATGGGACTGACATGCTAGCATCCCGTGTCCTCTGCATTGTGCTGGGACGTGGGTGTGTAAAGTGTTGGGTGGGTGGGGAGTATCATCCCAAACAAGGCCTACCGATCAACATTAACCTCATTTTCTCCCTCCCTCCTTCCTTCCTTTTTCTCACCAAGGACTCAAATTTCTGTAACTTTCCACAGACAATGTCACCCGTTTCTCATGTGTATCCGTGTTTATGAAAACCCAAAAGTCTTCAAAGGAAGACATAGGGAATAAGTTTACAGTAAACACGATGACATTTCAGTCTGACATACCAGGAGGGAGAGATACAGACACGTGTAAGCCAAACCTCAACGTGTTTAATGGGTGACGAATAGCTAAGCATAATGTTTAAATAGCAAACCAGTGTGAAAAACCAACCTGGTTGGCAGGCTGGGGTAGTGCAAGACTTAAACACGAGTGGAATGAAACCCTTTATGTCTTGTCAAGACATTCTGATACAACGCCACGGAGAGAACATGACTGCTTACAAGTCGCTGTGCAAATAAACAGTTACTCTCCGATACCGATCCTTTATTCAACGTGTGTCATGCTCCAGTCCTCAAGGACCAGTGTCCTGTCAGTTTTAAATGTCTTTGCTCCAACACAGCTGATTCAAATGGTCCAACTACATCCCTGCCATGTCAGAGGCCCGCAAATGAACAGTCACCAGCCAGGTGTGATGAACCAGGGGGAAAAAAATAAACAAACGTCCCAAGGAATTACTTCGGACACCACTGCTTTCTTCAATAAAGAAATATCCAGAAAAAGACACACACAATTGTCATACAGAGTTTCCAACGTTAAGTTTTTATCATTTGACCTTTGATCTAATTTTTCAAAAATGAAAGAGCCAGCTGTTCAAGCTGACGCCTAGATGGAATGTGCACTTTCAGCTTGTAACTTCCTTACGGCTATGTAGAAAGGGAAATTTAAATAAGCAAATCATTAAAAAGTTCAAACATCAATCGGCGTCCGGTTACACTTCCTTTCTGTACCCAGTAAACTGAGTTGTCCTCCTCAGATTTAGTGATCCCAGACAGGATGAGAAGGACATGCCAAACGCCGTCATGGAGTCTAAAACATTTGAACAGCCATAAAAAGGAAAATCCATTGCAGTTTAATACAGAAACTTCCCTGACCCTTCGTCTATTACCCCCTGTTGAATACAGGCAGTGAGGTCTACCGTCTCTGGTAGAGTGAGTCGTGCATCCAAATTGGTCTCATAAAAAGCCATGATGTTCATATTCATGCCGATAAGAAAACTTTCTCAAAGACCAAAAGTGCCATGTTCAGAGAAGAACCCAATCCCACCATTTGCATGCATCAAGCTGAAATGTGTGGAAGCGACAGAGGAACGGTGCAGCCTGAGCGAGTTGTACTGCATTTGGAAACAGCTGAGATGAATGCTTCGATGTGCGTCATAGGCCAGTACAATATGTTACAAATTTATCATCACCACACAACAGAGCAAAGAACTACTTCAATTGTAATGAGCATATGTTGAAGTACCATGCTTTCAAGCTCTCTATACTAGTAATATACTTTATACTTGTTGCTTAATGCAGCACAGAAAAGATTTTACAAGGTAAAGCCTTGGTAAAGTGGTTACAAAACTACATGTCATACATGACTCCTGCAAGCAAGCAGCAGAAAGACATTAGCAATGTTTACTTAAATATTGAATTATTTAATCGCAAGTCATATTGTTGTGACATCCTTCCTTAAGCTCATCAATATTACACGATCGTTTCCAATGGAAACGATTCAATGTTCCAGCTTCTCTCGATCCCAAAAGCTGCATGGATTCTAAACACATGCAACCCAAAGGTCACAGCCTCCAAATTACATTGATTCTGGAATGGAGTCATTAATTTAATAGATGCTTTTTTTTTCTTGAAAATTCAGTTATAAACAATATTAAAGTAATACAGTTGTTGGTAAAATTGGTAACTCTACCTTTAAAAAAAATATTGCAAACTGTACTTTATGAAAACGCTAGCAGATGTAGCGTCAACAAATAACAGGATTAGTTCATATAAACTCACAGTAAGGAATGATGAAATCATTCCTCTCATTTAAATAAAAACTCTAATGCCTGTCATTAACCCAAATAAAATGCTGCCCATTAGTCGGTTCTTCCTCCAGTTGAGTTTTTGCAAGTGATGACGTGCAAATGATCAACATTTAAAGTCTAACGACAGCAACTCTGCAATACACAAGCCCTCACCTGAAATGTTCACAAAGAAGATTTTATCTTTTGATCGATTAACCCAACAATCTTTAACTGCAGTTTGAGATAAATACTCAGCCGGTCTAAAGTAATGAAAATGTAGGAATTTCAAATATTTGCTAGACTTAAAAAAAAAAAAGGAGTCAGATCTCTTTAGTCATCACTTTCTAACAAAACTACACTAGGCCACATTAACAAACCAACGCTGGGCCTTAAGTAAAGAACTAACATTTACCAAGGGCTGTCATTACGAAGGCACTCATCAGGAGCCAGTTCAAACACTGGACAACACAAAGAAGACAGCTCCGTCAAAGCAGGATCACAAAACATTAAAGCCGTCTTTCTGTGCATCTGTAAACTAAATCACTAAGTGACAACAATCCTCTTAGGGTTTTACTCGTCAAACTGACACGAAAACTCAGAGAAGTGCACCACCTAACAGGAAAACACCAATCAACTAAGAAAGGCACCTCTTCAAGTTGAAAACCACAAGAAACTGTTGACAATTATTGCTCCGAAGGAAGGGGGAGGGGGGCATTTAAAAAGGTCAGCATCTATACATTGTCTCTTGCTCTGCTATCTGCTCTGCTCATATTATTCAAACCCTTCAGGCAGGATGTTGACATTGGAGGCTGATGAAGCGATAAGAAAAAGTGACACGGCGGAGATAATAGTAACAGCACTGGCACTGTGTTTGCATTACCCACAGAGCTTAGATACGGGCCGGTTGACCTTGGGACCATGTCCTCCTCACCACCATTGGTTACAGATTATGTTTGCATTGTTAACAGTTCGTTAGAACCCATAATTTACCTCGGCCAACAATCACACAAAAACAAAAGGGATCGATGATGACCAGCTGGAAGGTAAACAACACGCCTTGTTCCCATTTTATAATTTTTAACCAGTGCACAAAGTATGTTTTGTTTTATATGCAACAGGTAAAATTATAAAACTGAATCTTTTTAACCATCATTGAAGGAACCAATGATGCCTTCACTTCACACTGTCAGTTTGTTTGTGACCATAAGAAAAAGACATCATCATTGTGCTACTCTGTGTTCTTAGGCAACTGCTGTTGGTGGTTTCTACAAAATTATGAAATCCAACACCAGTGTCGAAAGTCCACATTATACAGCACCCTAATGGGGAAAAAGACAACAAAAAACAATGTATTAATACATACGGTTTATTAAAATACATGCATTTGTTGGGGAACTGGGGAAATAAGTAAATTGTGCTGATCATGTTTTTTTTTTTTTTTTCAGTCAAAACTTTTCCACCTTGTTTGGAGTCATATGAATAAGCAACCATACAAAACTATTTTCATGCTATGGCTTATTTGTAGGATCGATAGAAGATCAGATAAGAGAAATGGCTTTAAAAAAAAAAACAAAAAAAAAACCTTCATAACGGTGAAGCAGCCTGGAAGTACCTTCATCATAATCCAAAGTGCAGCTTGTTCCTCCTCATCATCACATTCACTTCCAGATCACAGTTATACTTCAAAAACACAGCAGCCACTCCGCACCTGTCAATGGGATCATTGTTCGCGGCACAGCTGCAAACATGACACCATCAACAATAACCTGAACAATTAGCCTGAATAAACAAGCGGATTGAGATGCAAATTTAAAAACACCGCAAGTTCCCTTCCTGAGCAGGATACACCGCCTGACACCACTCCGGGTGTAACTTTTAACACCGTGACTTCAAACAAACAGAAAGAAAAATAACAATACTTTTTTCCCCCACTAACTGTTAAACTCCAACATTTTTAAAAGTTTCTGTAAAGCGGTTTTAACTCTTGTTGTAGAAAACAGTCGCGTTTTACACACCTCTTCTTTCCCCCCTCCCCAAACCAAACCACTTGAAAGTAACTCCAGGTACAAAAAGTTCAACATTTTTCTCAGTAAACTGTATAAAAAAGCTACTCACTGCTTTTGCCAAAGTAAACCGCCGCCCAGTCTGTTGAAATCTGGCTGATAAATGGAGGAAACTCGTGTCACTGCTAAGTTAGCTCAGCTTCCTCTTCCTCTCAGCTTAAATCTCTGGACCCAACCCTCTGAGGGAGCAGTAAGAAGGTGGAGCCACCCGGTACCGGTGACTCAGTCACTTAATATGGGTGGAATCGAGCCGCAGCGATACACTATCAAATGTCGAAATCAAAATTGATCAGGGAGGGAAGATTGCTTTTTCTATTTTAAATTATATCCTCCAAATACTGATGCAGACACGGGACTTCGACTGAAACATTCTTCAAATGCATTTTTGGCAAGTAAAAGCAAAACTACTAATATAGATAAATTAATATTTACGTTTAGTATGTTTACCTGTCCAATCATGACCGTGTCTGGTTGCCCTTACTGTGTCAAGCGAGGATGATTGGCTCTACAAGTAGGGGTGTAATTTGTTACTGTTTGCTCACAATTTATGAATAAAGAAGTAAAAGTTGTTCAAATATTTTAAATAATAAGGTTAAGAATTGTAAAGTGAATGCATGCAGAGAATATATGTAAAGGAACATGTATACTTGTAAAAGATGTTCATAGACAATGTGACCCGCTTGGCCACTGTTCACTTGAGTAGAGTACATTTTGATACTCATGAACACAGAGCTAGAACAAGTGGAGACTTAATTCAAATAGCAGGTCTTGATGCTCCGTTCCAATATTTGCTGAAATATATTTGTTTGTTTTTGTTCGTGGTCATTCACGCTATTTAAATGCTCTCAATCAGACTTATGTGTTAAAGGTTTACAACCCCAGATTGACACAGAAGAAGAACATATATCGCACAGCAGCACACTTTTTTTTAATGAAATAACAAAGGATGCTGCCATCTAAATGGAGATATTTAACACTGTTGAAATGGGTGCTGGCAGTATTTTCAAAAGATCAGAAAAAGACAAAAGCTAGCTAAGAAAAAAGAAAGCCAAATGTTGGTCGCTGCTGGCGATGTAAACAATGAGGCTCTCATTGTTTACGTCGAGATTTACCACCTCTGGCTTTTTCTGGAGCAGAATTATGATGCTTGTCTCACATCAATGACACAAGTCATAAAATGTGACGCAACTGTTCAGAGCGAAGTCAGCTTGAACACTTTAAATTACTACATATGAAGAAGTGGCACAGATAGGAATTTATGGGCTTGAAAACTTAAGAATTGAGTCGTTCAGACTGCCATCAAAAAATTGAGATGCATATGAACAATTACATTGGATTTAGGTTGCATTTGCCTGCTGTTGTGAACGTCACCTAAGAGAACTTATATTGCGTGTTGTCTAAGAGGCGCTCATGGAAACAGCTATTTCATGCATAGACAGGAGGGCAATATTGCTAACTGCATTGACTTTTTGTGTCTTTTTCTTTTTATTACTGTGTATTTATAATGTTTGGGACCTTTTAGAGATGGGAAACAGCAGTAGGCTCTCTCGAAAAAAAAACACAGTAATATTTCAGCCAAATATTTTTTATTTTGGAGTTTTTCTACTTATGAATTTGCACAAGCTGGTATGTACCGTGTATTTTAGCTCCTTTTTCGAAACCCACAGTAACTACAATAACAACATGGAGCTGAAGTAGCTCACTTGTTGGCCAGACCACACGGCCCACCACGTTTGCTAGACGGTGACCACTGCAGACCATGAACAGCCCCAAGAGTCACATTTTTGTAGATGCTCTGACTCAGTTGTGCAGCCATCGACCTTGCTCAGATCCGTACATTTTCCAGTTTCTCTGCATCAAATGCAACAACACTGATATATTTTTCACTTATGCATCCGACCCTCTAACAGGAGCCATAGAGCTGAGATAGAAAGTGAATTTAAAATTGGACATTGACAACTATGTTCAGTCCTGCTTGGAAATACTATTTGGTCTGAAGTATTAGTTGGTGAGAGTTCCCTGAGAGTTGGATAAGATCGAGGGTTCCAACATCTTCAACATTGGTGTGCAAGATGTAATTTTAGGTACAAGCAAAATTTATATTTTTAAACCTGCATAAATGAAAAAAATTTGAGATTTAATAACAACGCAAATAAATTAAATTTCCTACTGTCATCTTCTGGAGGTTAAATACATTTTAAGCTCAACATTGTTCATGCCAATGACATAAATAAATTTAAGGTAATATTATAATTTCAGAATATTTTAAAATGATGGAAATAGCAGTGGAAAATGCAGAAATCTAGGTAAATAATAATAATAATAATAATTCCACTAATTATTGAGAAGGGTCTAAGTAATGTTAATCTCAAAACTGATACTCCTTTGGCATTGAGGATACGTGTCTCTTCTCTACAAGACACAAAGTTCTTGATTGAATGAAAAAAATACATTTTGAAAAGAGACAACTATAAAACTGACACTTCAAAACTTAGGAGTCAAACCGAAATGGTCTGGGGGAGTTCAAGTAGCTTGACGACATCTTATCTAATAAAATAATACTTTATAGGTAAATTATCACTGAGACAAGACGAACTGATTGAGCAGTGTTTATCTTCCAACAGGCAGACGACGCTGTGGAATAAAAGAGTCACATCTTTACGCAGTAGAGTTCTCATTCAGCACTTATGATACCAAGATAAGATAAAAACTTCCTTCAGAATATGTATCACCCAACGGCAGCGATAGCTGCTTTCCGCAAAGCCATAAACCAATCCTTATGTTTGGTATGAAGTCATTTAAGCAACAAACTCCATATCTTAAGATAGAGACATGATGTTTGTTGAGTTTTCTAATGAGGTAAGTGGGCAGATATTTAGATTCTGTGATTGGCCGATTGGCTGACATGACGATCCGTTTAATGATCCGGAGCAGGTCAGTGAACCTGCTGTGCAGCTGTAATGCTTTGTCATTCAGCTATAAAACAGTCAAATGTTTTTTCCTCTGTTTCCAGCGGTCACCTTTCTCGCACACAATTAATAATCAGGTTATCAGACAGATTTTGACACACACACACACACACACGCACACACACACACACACACACACACACACAAACAAAAAGCACAAATGTTGTGTAGGGGAAATGTACAAGAAATGTTTTTTAACGTGACAGAATCTTCTTACTTTCCAGACTCCGGAAGCAGCAGTGATTTAAGGTGCTTTGCTCCAGGTTTGCCACAATGATGACAAGCATGTTTTCAAATAACTATGACAAAGGTAAGAGCTTAGTGACAGGCGAACAAAAAATTTAAAAAAAGAAAAAAAAAAAGGCCCGGCTGGCAGTACTTCCTCCTCTGACACATTGTTTAAAGATGACAGTGAGACTGAGAGGAAAGAGGAAAACTAGGGAATAGGGCAAGGTGGATTAATACTCACGTTTATCTCTGTGATTCATCCACACCATTCATCATTTACATTGTTGTATATGCAACATTAAACAAAAAAGAATTTAATGGAGGCCCTGCCTGTTCTTTATATTATATTCACGTGTGTATCTGTTTCTTTATGCCATTCTCTTCTTCTGTTGATACTTTGAGACTTTCTGAAAAATCTGAATACAAAGGCATTTAAAAAATATTTTAAGTTAGCTTAACATGAGTCAAACACATTAGAAATGATCCATTTCTTGGAATAAATTGCGATGTTGTTCACTTAAATATTTCATTCGGTGTGTTTACACTACAAGACGCATCCGTTCATTCACACACAGACTGGCAGGGTCAGCGCAGTGTTTCTAAAACGAATCAAAGCAACACTCAGTGTTTTTGATGAGAGAGTAACATGATATGATGTGAAGCTTAAAAAGGTTTAAGGCTTTGAGATCAAATTAAATAAATAAAAAAACATTAACTAAATTTTTACACTGCATATGCTCACTCGTTATTCAAGTGAATGTAATAATTTTTTAAAACTACAAAATATGTACATCCTTCAACTAGGGATATGAAAACTTAATCCAAACAGACATTTTTGGTCTTAGTCCAGCTAAATAAAACTAATTCAGTTGCTAATGTTACATTAACTTTTGAAAAGGACAACTTAGAATTGAAAAATATCTACCATAGGATATTTGTTTTCATTTTTAAAAATTCACCAATTGTCGAGTGTTGATGTTGAGTAAAAGAAGTACTTTTTTTTTTTTTTTTTTTTTTTTAAGGTTTTTTCTTTTGTGGAAATTCAATGACATTGTTCCAGGAAATAAAATTTTGAAAAACTGCTAAAACTTTCATTAGTTGTTATAGTTACATTTAAAAACATTTACTTGTTCTTGATCATTTTTACTCAAAGTTATTAAGATTCACTGTGAATGAGTGAATCTATCTATCTATCTATCTATCTGCTGGAGAAGTGGATCTCCAACAGATCTGGAGATCCACTTCCTGTTGCAGAGTTCCAAGTTTCAGAACTTTGACCTAAATATTTAAACTAAAATTGACTAAATAAAACACATGCTTTGATCCATAGATTTTACAGCATAAAGATTTAGATATTTACACAAATCTTATTTTTCAGCTTTGGACCTTTATTTAATGTGTTGACAGTGTAATATCTGGACTCCCTTACTACATTTTGAGGTAATGTAATCTAGAAATGTAATCTTAAGAAATTTTCCTAAACGTGATCAAATTATTTATTTCCAAAGTTCAAATATATCAAACATGTCATTTGCAATTCTCTATTTGTAACTTCCTCGTGGCGCAGATCTCTCACATTAAATCAGGGCGACATCTAGTGTATTTATATGATTACTACAACACATGACAGTACTCCGTCTTCACAGCTTGAAATGGCGCAAAAATACAGACATGGCCAAATTTGTTCAAATTATCGATATAGATGAAAACACATATAGAAATAAAGAAAACAGCAGTGGCACCATTGGACATTAATGATTTCTTAACTTTATTCAGTGGGAAAAAAATGCCATGTTAGTTTTTAAGAAATTAAAAATTATTAAAATGGCATAATATTTGGTACCTCTAATAATCTCCTTTAAATAAATTTAACCCAAGCTTTAAAGTTAATTAAAGTGCTTAAAACATCTCATTAGTAATTAATGGGGGGCGGAAGAAGTGGCTCACAAAAGGGCAATGATAAAAATAATTATAACAATCCGTGCAATAAAGCAAAAATACACACCC